TGGGCAGCGGGGCCAAGACCCACCTGCAGTTCATCATCGCCAAGATCGGCCAGCTGCGGACCCTCAACAGATGCGAGGTGGGCGCACAGCTGGTGTCTTCGAGACTAGAAAACAGGTTACAGAAAATGCAAAAGACACTGTATTTGAATATTGCAGAGGGTGTCAGACGTGGTTGTCCTTAAGAGGTCAAGGGCCTCCTGTGCGTTTTAATGACAGGAATCAGACTGAGCAGTGACCTGTCACCCGGTCAATTCGTTATCACCAAGGAGGGTGAGGGACACCGGGTTCTTCGTCCTTTTCCTCGTGGGGGGGGAGGGGAGGGTGGAGGCAGAAAGAAGGCAGAACCAGGAGCCTGTTGATCCTCCCCTTGTAAACGGGTAGGCAGTGCCTTTTGGAGCCGCTGCCTGGGCTTGTGCGCTCCCCCGGTGGGCTCCTCCAGGTGGGCTCCCCACGCCTGAGGGCCCTCAGGCACCTGGCCTAGTCCAGAAACCAGCTCGTGGGCCAATACTCTCATGAAGAAAAGTAGGAAATGGAATTTTCTTTTTGAATAAACTCCTGGACTGTCAATGTTAAAAAGGGTAAAAATATAATTATTACCTTGTACCTATCAGTTAGATGATCTCTGGGTGGGCAGTGAGGAAGAATAGGGCACAGCACACACTCATTGAGACCTGTCTCATAGACCTGTTGGCACTTCTCCACGCAGATCCGCCCGGAGGAGCGGCGCGGGGCCGAGCTGGATTACCGGAAGGCGTTTGGGAAGGAGTGGAAAGAGGCGGGTGGGCACCAGGATCCCGACCAGGACAGGCCCAGCGAGGCATTCCTGGCCGCCCACCCCAGATACCAGGCCCTCTGCCGCAGTGCGTACCCACACCGCCCTCCCGGGGGTCCGAGGGGCCACAGGCTGTGGCTTCTCTCCCAGGCTCTGTTCTCTTCCATTAAGTGGGTGCTGGGTGTTTCCCCAGGCGACTTCGGTGAGATGGGAGCAGATCTTAACTGTCTTTAGAGAACAGACAGCAGGAGGAACCTGGGGTGTGGGTCGTCTTTATGTGTCGGCAGCGCTCCGACCCAGGGCCGGCGCCCGGTTCACCCAGGGGGTGTAAAAATGCGAGCTTCTGAAGGTGGACTTTAGGCACTGGCACTTTTTCCAGCTCCCCCTTGGCCTCCAGCCGATGGAAGGCGGCTTATAGACGTTGTGCCAGGTGCTCCCTCACACTCCAGCCCGGAGCTGCCACCTCAGGCCTCTGTCCCTGACTCCTTTCCACTTTGATTGGGCTTCATTACTATTCCAAATGTCACTGCCATGTGACTTCCTTTTTCACACATTTCCTAATATGAGCTGCTGCTTTAGTGCTTCAGGCTGGATCTCTCTGTGAGGAAGAAAAGCTGCCTGTGGGAATTGCTTTCACATGACTCCCTTAGCTGGCCCACCTTGGGCGAGAAGGTTCTGAGCAGCCCTGCAGGTACGGCTCAGCCTTCACACCCGAGGGCCCAGCACAAGTTGGCGCGTCAGTGCTGCTGTCCTTACGCCTGGTACCATATTGAGGCTGCGTTTCCAGGGGACCTGGTTGGCGGGGTGGTTCCGAGGGCCCGCCCTGCATGGCTAAATCTGGCTGGAACTGGGTGAAGGTGTCCTGTGAGTTGTGTCCCAAATAGCACAAGCTCCCTCTCAAGTTCAGAAACGTTAGCAGGGGTGACATTTGGAGCAAACGCTTCAAGTGTTTGGAAGCACAGCCTCGTCTTGCTAGTCTGTCCGGACACTGCCTGTCTCTGAGGACAGTGATGTCATATGGAGGGCGGGAGGGTCCACAGGAAGTGGATCCAGTTAGTGGACCAGCGGCTGCTGGGCTGGCCCTGTGTTGACACTTACCTGACATTTTTTCCCTTACAGTGGCCTGTGGATTACCATTCATCGTTTTTTATTTCTTAAATAGAATACGGTGCACCTGAAGATGGGGAACTCAAAACACAACAACCATTTTTGCTCAAAAACCAGCTACTAAGTAAGAACCCCAAATTCAAAGACAGCTTCTTTGTGTTCAAGTCCTTAGGTACCGAAACAGAATGATAGCCTAATAGAGATGGTTTCTCTCAAGTGCTTGAGTAGGTTGGTTTTTAAAGAAATGATAAATTTCTCAAACACATGTAAATTCCTATATTGAACATTTCAGAAATTCATTGCTTTCGGCCCATTTAATAGTGTTATAGATGTGGGGAGTACTTCAACAGTGAACTGAATTGTGATTTGGAAACGTGTGACTTGTCTTACATTGAAAACCTAGTGAACTTGTCAGGAAGGAAGTACTGAAGGGGAAGGGAAAGCAACAGAATGTTGGTCCAGCTCCTTCGCGGTCAGTAATGCGAATGTCAGTGAAGTGTTCACAGGAGGACTTTTAAACTTCAAGACCGAGTCCTGTTAGGGTCTGAGCCGGCTGTACCAACAGCTGCGTCACTTGGCAATGCCCTTAACGTTCAGGTGCCCTTTAAGTCCTATTGCAGCCCTCCAGCCCTGAAGATAAACTGTCCTGACCGCCCTGACCAGAAAGCCCTGGAGAAACAGCTGCCGGGTAAGAGGAGGAGCCTCTGCTCTCCTGCGTCTGCATCGCGCGCAGAGCTTACAGGTTGTCACTAGCTCTTCTCGCTCTAAGAGAGGCGACCCTGCTCCTCTCACTCCCCCGAACGCTCATCCGGAGGACCCTGTGTTGATAGGAAGCCCTGCGTGTGCTCACATGGTTAGCAAAGGCACAGCTTGTGCGCAGCCCCAGGGGGCCTCTCCCAGGCCCGCGGCTGGTCAGCTCGCGACCACCCCACACAGTGAAGCCAGTCCACCTAGAGTTTCCGATAGGACGCGGTTACCTGAGCAAATTATGCTGATTAAAATGATAAATGTCTGTTGGCCATTCAATACATACACTTAAGGAAAGGTATTTTTTTCTAAAATAAACATTTATTATCACAAGTTGCATAAAAACGACATACACTTAAGGAAAGGTATTTTTTTCTAAAATAAAGAACATTTATTATCAGAAGTTGCATAAAAACAGACAGCCTTTACAAAAATGGTTTTTGATAGAAAAATATTTGAATCCATGTGATATTTGTAGGAACACCACACTATTGCTGTACCTCCAGCTAAAGCTTCAAAGAAACTGTGTTTCTCATCAAAATAGCCAATATTTACCACAACTATCTTTGGAGAAAAGTTCATACATAGTGTTTTTTGAACAAACCGAAGCGTTTACTCCTGAGGCTGCGTTCCAGGCCTGGTGGTCACTGTACGTGTGTCCAGCACAGGGACCCGCTGTGGTAACTGCCGGCCGCCTGCGGGGGAGGGGTCAGCAGACCATGTAGGCACCCCTCACTCCAGAGGCCCCACAGTGGTCTGTAGTTAGGGCCGGCCGCCTGCGGGGGAGGGGTCAGCAGACCATGTAGATACCCCTCACTTCAGAGGCCCCGCAGTGGTCTGTGGTCATCACAACCACAAAGATTTAAAAGGAGAAGTTAATGATTTTCCTCACATCATTCCTCTGCAGAGAATCTGACTTCTGGTGACTGGGACGAGGGAGGGAGGATTAGACGCCACCGAATAGTGTGAAAACTCGCTGACAAGGGCACGCGGGCCGAGCACTGGCTCTGAGTGCTCAGACCGGGTCTGCTCCCCGGGCCTCTGCCCCATCGGTCACTTGGGTGGGTCGACACTGAGGTGACAGTTCAGCTGCCACTGGACCTGCGGTCCTGCACTGTGAGCTCCTGCGGCAGGTGACTGTCATCTGAGAGCACGGGTGGCTTCTCTTTGACAGACTCCATGACGATTCAGAAGGTGAAAGGGCTGCTGTCCCGCCTCCTCAAGGTCCCTGTGTCGGACCTGCTGCTGGCCTACGAGAGCCCCAAGGTGAGTTGCCTGGAGCCGCCAGCCCGGCCACAGCAGTGGCAGCTGTGAAACTGCGCCTCCATGGCTGACTCTCCGCGGGCTTGGGGGCGGGGCATTAATACGCTCCAGCAGGTCTGCCTGAATCACCCCAAGCCTTTGTTCTGACTTTAGATGCCGGGCAGAGAGATTGAACTAGAAAATGACCAGCAGTCCTTACAGTTCTATTCTGTGGAGAATGGAGACTGTCTGCTAGTGCGATGGTGACAGCAGCTCATACAGCTCAGAGACTGGGCTGTGGTTCCCGGGGCTCACTGGCAAGAAATGACCTATCGGAGCAGTTCTCTCAGAGGTTGTACTTTTCTTTAGGGAAGAGGCTGTTTCTAGGCTTGTACATAATAGCGGCAATAAAGGCTTTGTACCTACTAATGATTTTCTGATTTTATTTCATATTTATAGTTCGTGATTGCATTTCATTATGTGAAGATTCCAATACTAAATAGAACCTAGCTAGTCTAATAAAATCTGAACATAGTTCATGTCTGTCATAAGACCAGTTTAATGGAATCCTCTATTGATACTACTGGTTTAAAAGGCTACTAAAGTGATTTGGTTGGTCATTTAGGGAAATGTCCCTTAAACTTAGGGCACACCCTCCACTATGTACAGCAGACATGCTACGATCACCCTTCTCGATCGCAGTGCTCAGAGTAAGAGTACTTCTCAGAGTTAGTTACATGCTTTTCCCGCAGTTACACCTATAGGAGCCTATCTTCTGTTGTAAATGATTCCCAGCACTGATCAAATTTCACTCCTATTAGGTAAACTTTAGGCAATGACAGCAGGAAAGCATAATTCTTTCAAAATGTCAACTATTTAAAAATATCCTTCCCTCTGGCACTAAAACCCTGAGAATATTTGATTTTACTTATATTCACAAAAATGTCGCATTTTTAATAGGAGCACTAAACTGTGACTCCCAGGATTTGTGAAATGGCAAAAGAAAACGTGCATTTAAAACCCTGAGAATATTTGATTTTACTTATATTCACAAAAACGTCGCATTTTTAATAGGAGTACTAAACTGTGACTCCCAGGATTTGTGTGAAATGGCAAAAGAAAACGTGCATTAGTCCATTAATGATAAATGAACTTTAAAACCAAGGTCCAGACCTGAGAATTCATCGGGTTCTTCCCCAGGCCTAAGTTGCCCCCTTTGCTCAGACATCCACAGACAGCAATGTTATTTCCAGAAACCCACACTTTGGTACAGTGACTACTGCTCAGAGCGACCGCAGCATCACACAGCATTTCGGTGAGTTTTGGGGCCCATGTAACTGTCCTAATCGTGCTAGACGAAGCTATTCTGCAATCTAGGCTGAAAATCCAACTCTCAGTCACTCAAGATTTCTGAACAAGCTGACTTTTAACCAAAAATGACAGCTAGTGAATGCTAACTAGAAACGATGAATCAGGACTTATAAACTATTTGGTATTTTTCAAATCTCCCGATATATAAATACAGTTTCTGTTATGCTACAGCATCAGGGTTGATTCTTAAAGAGGAAACTGTGCGAACATGAAGTGACACAACGCGGGTCCAGAGAGCCTGCCTGGAGCTCCCAAGGGAGCACGCATCCAGCCGCACCTGCTCTCTCAGTTCCCGCAGACACCCAGGCCCCTCCCCGCGAGTCCCCTTCATCTGGCCTCGCACTGACAAGGGTCGCCGCACAGCTCCTTCAGCCTCCACAGGTCCGCGAGCTCCTGTGGGGAGTACTGCGGGGAGGACAGCATCCCCGTTTCACAGGTCTTCTCGCACAGCCACAGGCTGTCCTGTGGGAAACAAAGCCGACGGGATGGATGTCAACGCTTGAGGACAAGACAGGGCTCGCGCACAGGCTCGACTCTCCCAGGGAAGCTCACATCACTGTAGAGACAACCACTCGGACTTTGGGGCGACTGACTGTGGAAGGTAGACACAGTGCGGCACTAAGGGGGAGTCCTGGGAAGAAGGGTCTGGAAGCCGCGAATGGAAAGTTTCACACGTGCCATCAGAGCTGGCGGCTGTTCTGATGGGAGGCGACCCTGTCCCAGGGTCGTACCAAGTGCTTTATAAATGTTCCCTGACTTGGTCCTCACACTAACCCTGTGAGGTAGACACTTTCACAAATGAGAGCCTGGAACTAAGAGAGAGGGACCTGCTCAAGGTCACAGGGAAGCTGGGCAGAGCAGGAGGGACTCAGGGGACCAGCCTACACCCAGCGTTAGAGCCGGATACAGCCCAGAGCCACCGTTCAAGCCGAGACACCACAGAGCCGGCCCACAGCTCTACAGGGCTGGCCTCGCCTGTGCCATGCGCAGCTGCTGGGTTAAAGGCCTGAGACTCCAGGGCCAGGAGACTGACGGGATCCCACAGCCAGGCAGGACCCTGAGGGGCCAGAGCCTAGGGCAGTAAGAGAACAGCTGTCGGGAGGAGCCTGTGGGTCCAGCTGGAGTCCGTCTGCGGAGCCCAGGGTCCCCGTGGGAACTGAACGCTCACGGACGGCGATGCCCTGCGTGGCAGCACAGGGTGCGGATCCTCTCTCTGTGGGGACGCGTTTCACATCCAGACCCCAGCTCCCAAGGAGCAGGAAGCCAGAGCACAAGAGCCTCTGAACCAGCGGTTCCCAACCTGTGGGTCACGACGCCTTTGGGGGTTGAATGACCCTTTCACAGGGGTCGCCTAAGACCATCCTGCAGATCAGATATTTACATGACGATTCATAACAGTAGCAACATTACAGTTATGAAGTAGCAACGAAAATTTTTTGTTATGATTGGGTCACAACATGAGGAACTGTTTTAAAGGGCCAGAAGGTTGAGAACCACTGCAGAACACTCAGGAAACAAGCTCCAAAGCCAGTCTGCAGAAGCCACAGCCACAGCCACCCGCACACAGAACCAGAGCGGATGCCATCAGGGATGGCACTGAGACAGCGACAGAGCGATGGGACGATTGAAGCTGAACCAGCCGACTGGGTTCACTTCCGCCCCCTAAAATGGGGGGCGCACTCGGCCCCAGGCACCTCCTATGGCCAAAGCAGGAGCTGCAAGAATCCAGACTCCAACAGAAATCCTGCAGCAGAGGCCAGCGTGCTGCTCTCTAGGGCTCTGGGCTCTGTCCTGCATGTCTGGTCTGTGCAGATGGGTTCTTGTTTTTCTAGCTCGATGACCAGTGTATCTTACAAGAGGCCTGACCGTGTTCCACCCAGCGTTTCCTCTGCATCAGTCAGCCCACCACGCTGCTGGGAACTCATGTCGGCTGGTTCTTTAAGTGTTAAAGCTGCAAAGAATTTCTGATAAAAACCCAATTCTTCTTTGTGGGCAGAACTTCCATTCACAACATTTCCTTATCGTTTTACTCAGAAACATGCTGCCTGGGAACCCAGGCGGATCACTGTGAATCCAGTCACGAGCACAGCAACGACGCGAGGAGACCTTCTATCCACTGCTCCCGCCCGAGGTGCGACACAGCCCCCCACCTCGGCTCTCCAGCCCCACTGACGTCCGCTTACCTGGTATCTCTTAGGTCCTATGGCCGCCATCCAGATGCCCATGCTCACATCTTCACCCTGGACACGCATCAAAAGGTTAAATGCTCTCCCATCTGTACAGACAGCCACACCTACTCAATGGGCAATAAATTACCTTTCTGCCTCTTTGTTTTGTCATCTAACACGACACCCTGGCATGTGAACAGGGACATAGAGTGAAAGCCGGTGGCTGTTTACATGAAGACAGCACATCCTACAACAAGGGACCCAAGGCTCTCACGGCCCCAACGCTCCAGCGCTGATGGCACTAAACACACTGGACCGAGTCACTGGGCAGCGCTGTTGGTGACACGGTCCCCACTGTCATCCAAAAGGAAGCAGCACAATATAAATCTTTACTCCTCCAGGGACTAGTAAACATAGGCGGAAAGTATAAGGCGGCACAAAAAGGGCCAGGAGGAGAACTTAGCGCCACACTTGGGGGACAGGAGTGTGTCCCTAACGAGTGATTCTCACAGAAAGAACACATGCTCTTCCCACGGGTGGGCCCTGCTCAGGGTGGCACTGGGCTGGGAAGCTGGCTGGCTGGCTGGTGCCCCCTTAGGCAGAAACCCTTCACTACCCACCTGGTAGGTCTTCAGCCTGCCCGCGTTGCTGGCCAGCCAGTGGACGATGTCCCGTGAGACCACGTACCCCGAGCCGCACGCAAAGGCAGGGTAGGCAGGGCTCGGGTACTCCAGTTCCTGCCACTTCCCCGTCCGGTCCACGGCCCAGTTCAGCCTGAAACTGAGATTGACAGTCAGTGAGCTGCCTCCTGTGTGCCTGACACACGTCCTACCACGTTCGGCTTGACTCACGCTTTCCCGTCAGCACCAGGGACAGAAGCGAGGGAAGCAGCATGAAGACTGTTTAGTCTGAGAAAGGAACTACCTACTGTCCTACCACGTTCGGCTTGACTCACGCTTTCCCGTCACCACCAGGGACAGAAGTGAGGGCAGCAGCATGAAGACTTTGTTTAGTCTGAGAAAGGAACTACCTACGTAGGATATTTTATATGAAACCAATATACTTAAATTCTCCCAAAGTTGCGTGTGTAGCTTCTGAATGGAAAGTACCAGCTCGTCGTGTGTGTATTTGCTTAAGAAATCCACTGACCCACCTTGTATTTCTGAAGAACGAAGCTTCAGAAAGGGAACAAACATTCTAACATATAACACGCAGCAGCTGCTAATCTGAGAACCACTTACTTCGAGGGCAGGAGGATAAAGCCAAGTCACTTTCTCGCCTTCGTTACATTAGCTGGAGGTTTTTCACTTTAGTTTTTCCTCTAATCACAGATGAATAACATGCAGTAACCCAGGAGCCTTTAAGGACACTCCCTATCTCAGCCACGTCTTCTTAGGAAGAGAAGTCGATTTCCTCCTAAGGGCCTGGCCGTTGCTCAGGCACACAAACGCCCTGGGCTCACAAGCTGAACTTACTTTCCCCACCAGACGCTCGGGCCCTGCAGGGTCCTGCGGGCGATCCTGGTGAGCACGGCTTCCAGGTCTATGTAGCAGTCGTCATCCGTCTTCAGCAACAAATCAAAGCTGGTGGCTTCCACGGTCCTGGTGGCGAAAAGGGGACGCAGGTCAGGGCGTCCACACGAGGAAACAGCAGCCGCGGAGGCGGTCACACTGCTCCCATTTCACTAAAGCTGCCCCACGGCCGCGCACTTGTCCAGTTCCTGGGCCTCCATTCCCCCCGCACCCCTTCACATCCCTGCCTCGGCCCCACTGACAACAGGAAGGCCCGCTGGTGGCCTGGGCTACAGTAGCTGTCCACTCCATCCTGGCATCCAGTCACACCCACCTCCAGTCTTATCTGTATCTGCCCTCTGCCCACAGGACGACTCAGTTCCATTAGCTTGTCCTGGACAGGAAACACCCCTCCCATAAACTAGCCTCAGGACCAGCCCACACCCACAGATGCTGGACCATTTCCCACTGTGCCCAGGCAGCAGAGAACCAGGGGCAGACGGGGGCTCCCCAGGAAAACACTCTTGGAGTGTGTTTTCTGATGGAGTTTTGAAAGGAAAGAAAGATGTGAGCACACTTGACAGATTTAGTCTAGACCGCTGCAGCTAGAAGGTTCAGTCGTCAGGGTAGACGGTATCCAGGGGCTCAACAGCAAATGATGGGCCACTGAGGGACTAATATTAACAACAGTATGTATAACATACTGTACTCTTTTTTTAAAATATATTTTATTGATTTTTACAGAGAGGAAGGGAGAGGGATAGAGAATCAGAAACACCGATGAGAGAGAAACATCGATCAGCTGCCTCCTGCACACCTGCCACTGGGGATGTGCCCGCAACCAAGGTACATGCCCTTGACCGGAATCGAACCCGGGACCCTTCACTCCACAGGCCGATGCTCTATCCACTGAGCCAAACCGGTTAGGGCAACAGTTACTCTTATTTTTGCTGTTATCATTATAAAGGTAGGAATGCCAACTAAGACACCAGAAATACTGGAGGCTCAGGAAATGATAAATATGACAGACTCTGAGGGTCTGAATTTCATTTTATGTAAAAGTTTTGAAATTAGGGCAAGTCATTTTCAAATGGGTAGAGAATGGGAATATAATGTCGATGTTCCGTTGGACAGAACTCAGCTGGTAACCTGGGTACAAGGGACTATACTAGGGGTAAGATTTAGGGAGACAGGTATGAAAATGGGCCACTTTCAAGCTCACTGTTTTTCGTCTGACGTTGGCTTGAGACAACGTGGAAGTGACTCGAGGAAGGACTGACCTATGGGCCATCAGCTCTGCCTGCGTGTCCTGGACAGAGCACCATGGTTTGCGCTGCAGCGTGCTGGCCTGAGGGCGAAGCAGCAGCATTTACCAGCCACTCCTCACGGGAACCAGGACGAGACAGACCGGGGCCGTGTGCAGGGGCCGCAGGTTGGTTTGTTTCTTAAAAATCTCAGTGGTGTGATGGTGTGATAAACTGTTTCTCCACCAAAGGACACGAAAAAAAACTGCAGCCACCGGCATTGACAACCCACCACTTATAGAAGTTGAGCAGCTTCGCGGGGACGTTCCGGTAGGTGTCGACGACGTCCACGAAGACAATATCGCCGTGGCGGCTGCTCTCCTCCTGCAGCAAGGCGTCCTCCTCGCGGAGGCTCCTCAGGTGGGCAGCGCGCCGTCCGGGGCGAGAGTGGAGGTTTTGTAAGAGAGCATCACCTTCTAGAAGGAAAAGCCGAGAGCTGGAGAAAATGCTACTGCACACAGGGCCAGACCCGTGCCCTGCTGTGCCCTACACTCCGTGCCCGAGGCAACGGACAGGAGTGCGGTGGTCGGGAGCGTGGAGGCAGGGAAACGGACGCTCAGGGTGAATGGACGCGCCTGCGTGGGAGGGAAAGCAGCACCCGTTAGGCTGAGGGTGCGCACACGGACGACAAGTCCCTGCAGACGGTAATTTACGGGGTCGCATGGCTGCTCACTGCAGCCCTGTGTGTAACAGGAAAACGGAGCCAACCCCAGGCCGCACCACCGACCCCGAATGGCTAAGCTGTGGTGTCACACAGTGGAACACAGCAGTTTAAAAATCAGCCTGATCTTGCGTGTAAAGAGCAACGGCACTGAAAAATAATGCTGAGAAGAATATGTTGCTAACTGATAGATGCAATATGACACCATAAATATCAACTACAAAATATCCTAATCAAAAGTACGTTTTACTTAAAGAGATGTACGACCGTGGCAGACGGGAGAAAAGCGTGAGACGGTACTTTCCGACCTGCGACCGGCCACTCACCCTGAATCGTGTAAATAAAGCCGCCGGCCACGCCCTCCACACCTTCCGTGAGTTCAGGAGGCCACGCGCCCTCCCCGGCCTGAAAGACACGAGTGCAGCGCTCAGTGCTTCATCATAAAATGACCCCCCTCACGTGTGAACGCTGACTGCCAGCACCAGAGACCCCGAGCAGCTCCCCGCCCAGCTGCAGGGGCCGGAGGCCTGCACCACGGGTGACGACAGTGTCCTCCCTGCCACTCATCACAAAGGTGGGGTCAGGCCTGCGCAGCGGTCCACACAGCACTCACAACCCCATAACACAGTCAGATCTTTCTGAACAGCCTCCCGCCCCCCACTCAGCAGGCAGCTCTCTCATTCCCGGCTTCGGGCTCTTTCATTCCCGGCTCCGGATGTGAGATGCGCGGGGTGTGGAGTGACAGAACCAGAGAACAGCGGAGTTTTTCATCTTTCCTCTGTGACTACACGTTTTCTACGTATTCTAAAACACAGACTGGTTATTCCATGTTGTCTGGGCTGGTGTAAAAATAAACTTAAAACCACCTTTATGTATTAAAAATGCTGACGGACGTGTAACAACTGACCCCAGGACCGACTCACCGTCGTGACCCTGAGGACTCCGCCCCCGTCATTGACGGCCACGCTGCGGAGGTCTGTGGACACCAGGCCGTGCAGGTCTTGGCTCTCCCACACGATTGTACCTTCAAAGCTCTTTTGTGAAAGAGAAAAAGCGAGGCATTTCTTTATGGTTGTCATTTAGGTTGTAAGGTTTTTTTTGTGTTTTTTTCCTAAGAAACACTGGGTAACATTTTTATCCCACAACGAGCACACAATTGTTAACATTTTGGTGTATACCCTTGAGTCTGTGTTTTTCAAATACGCATCCAAAAGACAATGAACAAGAGGACATAGACCATCTTCAGCCACTGGAGTCATTCCCCCCCAAGTCCAAAGCAGGTCCTCAGGCTCCTCCTACGCCCAGGGAACCACGCCCGGGAACGTGCTGCTGAGCGGAGCAGCCGGTTCCTCAAGCATCTCCCCGCCCTCAGACATCTGGGCCCACCAGTATCTCCGACAATCACGTGAGGCATAGGCCGTGCAGGTCTTGGCTCTCCCACACGATTGTACCTTCAAAGCTCTTTTGTGAAAGAGAAAAAGCGAGGCATTTCTTTATGGTTGTCATTTAGGTTGTAAGGTTTTTTTGTTGTTGTTTTTCCTGAGAAACACTGGGTAACATTTTTATCCCACAACAAGCACACAATTGTTAACATTGTGGTGAATACCCTTGAGTCTGTTTTTCAAATACGCATCCAAAAGACAATGAACGAGGACATAGACCATCTTCAGCCACTGGAGTCATTCCCCGCCCAAGTCCAACCAAAGCAGGTCCTCAGGCTCCTCCTACGCCCAGGGAACCACGCCGTGGGGAACGCTGCTGAGCGGAGCAGCCGGTTCCTCAAGCATCTCCCCGCCCTCAGACATCTGGGCCCACCAGTATCTCCGACAATCACGTGAGGCATGTTTTGGTGTCAAACTTTTGTGTTTTATGTAAAACAAGTTCCCAGAAATGAAATTACTGGGATCAGAAACAGACAGATTTTATATGGATTTTGGTACACAGTGCAAACTGCAAAATTCAAAAGCAAATTACACTAATTTACAGGATCATTAGCAATTTATGGAAGTGCCAGTATGAGATATTGGTAAAAGAAAGTAAGCTTAAGCTAATTTGTTACATTAAAAACAATTCCTGTCTCGTGGATTTCTAGTAATGCATATGAATCATATAGTCTTTTCTGGGCATTGCTTTGTCTTGCTTCTTTGCCATTTAGCTACTGAATTTTATATTTTTCTTATTAATCTGTATGAGCTTTCAATAGATAATCTTGTGCGTATTTATATGCTGAAAATAATTTTCATAATTGTTTGCCATTTATTCTTTTTTACTGAGTTTAAAGGTCCCTAAGTCTTACCTTGTTTATTCTGACAAGCTTTTCCTTTGTGATTGTTACTAACTGGGATCAGAAACAGACAGATTTTATATGGATTTTGGTACACAGTGCAAACTGCAAAATTCAAATGCAAATTATACTAATTTACAGGGTCGTTAGCAATTTATGGACGTGCCAGTATGAGATATTGGTAAAAGAAAGTAAGCTTAAGGTAATTTGTTACATTAAAAACGATTCCTGTGTTTCGTGGATTATCTAGTAATGTATATGAATCATATAGTTTTTTCTGGACATTGCTTTGTCTTGCTTCTTTGCCATTTAGCTACCGAATTTTATATTTTTCTTATTAATCTGTATGAGCTTTTAACAGATAATCTTGTGTTTATTTATATGCTGAAAATAATTTTCAGAATTGTTTGCCATTTATTCTTTTTTACTGAGTTTAAAGGTCCCTAAGTCTTACCTTGTTTATTCTGACAAGCTTTTCCTTTGTGATTGTTACTATGAAAGTCTGAGTTTAGGAAGTTACTTCCTCTCCCCCAAGTTAGGTAAATTCTCCTAACTTCTCTCTGGTTTCCACCGTCAGTGCCGTGCCAGCTGGCCCCCGTTCTGCTAACATTTCCTGTTTATTTTTCTGTTGTCAAACTAACCTCTCCCACTGGAATGCAAGGCCCTTGACAGATGGTCTCTGTATCGGATCTTTCTATGACTCCGTTACTGTCCTCTGTCATTCACACAGCCATGCGGCTCCCCACTCACCACCGAGACCATGGTAACAGGCCACGCTTTGCAGAGTGGCTCAGAGGCATGGCGACGCTCCCCGGAGTCTGGAGAGTTCGACTGTTCAGTCCACCCTGCTGTGGCCTCACCCACTAGCACCCTGGAGAGCTCTCCTGACCCACAGAATAGCAGTGCCTGCCCCAAGCCCAGCCCAGTGTGCGAAGGCTGCGTGGGTGCTCCATCCCCCCTTCTCCCCCCGCCCATACCTCTGGTAAGACGAACTGCTCCACGGGCTTGTACCACAGTCTGTTCACCTGCACCCCACAGCTTGGGGGGCTAAAGCGAGCGACGAAGAGGGCCTCCTGCAAAGGGGGAGACAAGAAGAAACACTTCCTGTTGGACACGGATACTCACAGATCTCACATGGTACTTGCATATCTGACCTGGCCAGCTAAGTCCTCAGTGGCCCCACCTGGTTACCAGCATTGTCCCACTGTAGTTTAGGTGTCATCTGGGTTCTCTAGCTCCGCCATGATTATGAAGTAAAGGTAGTTAAGATAACTACAATTGTCACCAAGTTCTAAACTACTAAAAAGAATCTTCATAACCTTCAAACACCACCCTGACATGAGAGGCATTAGGGGAAGTATGAGGTGTTGGTAAGACAACTTACTATGTTTAACCCCAAAGGATTAAGAACAAATGGAAGACCACAGATTTCTACATGGAACAAAGGACTCAAGAATCCCCTTCAAAAGGAACCTTTTTAGAGGAAAAAACCAACATCAAAGAGCACGCTTCTGTCTCGTTTTCTTGGCCCCTCCCAGTGTTTCAGACAAGAACACTTCCCTCTTCTCATGCCTGTTCTTTCTTTTCTTTTTTTGGATATTTTTCCCATTGATTTTTAGACAGTGGAAGGGAGGGAGGGAGGAACATGGATGTGAGAGAGGCACATCGATTGGTTGCCTCCCGCACGCCCAACCAGGCCCATGCATTGAGCCTGCAACCCAGGTACGTGCCCGACTGGGAATCAAACCCTTGACCCTCTGGTGCGTGGGCCCACACTAACCCCTGAGCAACACCAGCCAGGGCCTCCTGCCCATTCTTAGATACCAACTTACCATCCAGGAAACGTCTGTAGCTCAGAATTAAGGGCACTCTGAGTGGGTTATGTGTGTTTCTTTCATGAACTCTCGTTCTTGACAACGTGTGGGACTAGTTTTGCGAGATCCTGTGCATTACCCTCTGACATGCCCAATGGGTGAGAGGGAGGGGAAGTCTCCCGCCTACAGTATGCCGGGAGGAAGCAGCCGGCGCTTCTGAAAAGAACAACTGGGAACGCCTGTGCGAGCAGCACACACCTCCTGCTCTGCCTGGTACAGCTTGACGGTGAGGTTCCTCTGGAAGCCCACGTCGCTGGTGCCGCCCAGCACCCCGAGGCTGGTGATCACGATGGGGTGCAGCACGCGGAAGCTCACACTGACCACGCGGTCCTTAGAGAAGCCCGAGGGCGTGTCTTCGGGAAAAGTGAACGCCTCGATTTCCTGGTTCAGAACTGAGGAGGAACAGTGAGAAAGGAGTTTGACATCGGAAGTGATGAGACCGCCTGAGAGGAAAACCTAGGGAATTATTTCTCATGTGATTCTTTCCCAAATGGCAATGCTTTTAAATGCTTCAGAAGTATGGCTGCTTTTAGGGAAAAAAATATTCTCAAATTTAAGAACAAAGTTTTCAGTTACAGGTAAGTAAATATTTATTGATCAGAGCTACTTTAACAGGTTTTGCATGTACGCGTGTACATGTGTATGTATAAACACCACAGGGGAATATTAAGTTCAAAGGCATCTGTCAAGAGAGGTGGGGCAAACAGGGATATTGGAAACAATGCTGATTACAGCCATAAAGAATGAATAAATTGAGGCTTGCTCTGCAAAATCCAAAAAACCTACACCTCGGACAGTTTAAAATACGTGTCAGGGCAGGCAGTTTTCAGACAAAAATAACTGAAATGCGTTCCCCTCCCACTGAGGAGCCCTCGCTGCACGATCCTGATGGAGCAGGAACAG